CATAGCTGCAGAGCTCCTCACTTTATCTCTAAGGGAGGGCCTGGCCACCATGTGGAGAGAACTCATTTCAGCTGCTTTGATCTGGATTTTGTTCTGCTGGTCATGATCCAGATTTCATGACAGTAGATCAGGGTAGGAAAGTAAACTGATCTCTGAATCTAGAGCTGTACCTTTTGGCTCAGCCTCACCTTCCGTCTGTGAATATTTAGTAGCGGTGGAGGACGTCTCTAAAACACCTAAATTAAAACTTGTCCTAATCTGATCAGAAAAAAATATTTCAGTGTTAACTTTATTAGCATATTTGCATTTATCAAGCTAACAACTGAGTAATTCATAGATTTCATGGTGGGAAAAATAATTATATTAATTTGAATTCATTTGATTTTTAAACTATTATCAACTTTCAAATTTTATTCCAGTGTTGAACACTCTCCTCTGCTGTGGACAAACTCAATGTAAGATAATCTTTTAATATTTATTATAATTATATTTTGTATTATTTATTTTTTAATAATTTTAATTTTAGTTGTTAATATCTATTATAAACCAGAACAGATTTGAACTAAATGCTGGTTCTACTGTAGATGCTGTGCTGACAATTCAGCCCAACTGGTCGACATTTTATAGTGGAGAGTCTGTTACTTTCATCTGTGACATGAATGAAGGAGCAGAAACTGACTGGGATTACAGTATAATATGGAATGGTGGAGAACTTGTCCCCTACAGTTCACATAAAAGCTCCACACTAGAACCTCTCCATACAGGATACAGTGGTGAATATAAGTGCTGTGGTTCCAGAATCAGCTCACATCAATCCAAGTGCAGTGATACTATCTCTATAACTGTTTCAGGTAAGATTTCAGTATTTAAAAACAGACTCAGTTTATAATACATTTCTGCTCTATAACATCATGCATATTTTTAGGTCCGAAAAATCACAAAAATGTAAAAACAAAGAGAAGAGATTATTACATAGTTTTCTGTAGGAATATAATGATGTTTAATCTGAGAAATACAGGAATTGTTAATAAACAATAATTTACTTTATATAATTAAACAAAACATTTACAAACTAATTCATTGATTTATCTTAATGTGAACATTTCAAAATAAGGAACAATTCTGTTTTATGTATATATTTACTTTTCAAGAACATCACTTTTTACTATGAATGTTTATAGTACTTAATATAAAATCAAATATTATTTCTGTTTTTCATATCAGCAGATAAACCCAGAGCCAAACTGACAGCAGGTCCAACAAGCATACCAGTAGGGGGCAGTGTGACAATGAGCTGCACTGTGGAGCCCTCTGCTGGATGGAGGTACAGATGGTTCAGAAGGACCTCAGACACCTCTGGAGTTGAAGTCAGAATAAATAATGAGGAAAACAGAGAAATCACTGTGAGACAAGGAGGAATCTACAGATGTGATGGAGTGAGAGGAAACCCAGAGATCTACCCACATTCAAGCTCTGAGGTCACTGTTGGGATAACCTGTGAGTTTGTTAATGAAAACTATAAGCAACTAAATCTACTAAATCAATATTTTCATCTTTCTTAGTTTAATCACAATAACCTGTAAGCATTACAATCTATTTTTCTAATTTAACTTTGTTCTCTGCGTTACTGCATTTATCATGTTTCTTTTTTTCTTTTGGAAACAGTTTCCAACAAGGTTG